GATTAAAGGAAGTGATCAATGACTGTCTCTCTACAAGTGAGGAAAATTTGGAGCCAGCCCATTTCAAGAAGGTTGCCAAGTGGCCTTGGAAAAACACAAAAATGGCTATAATTCAGTCAGATTTACAAATATTGTGCTAAACGTTGGTGTGGCTATAGCTGACAATCATTCACAACACATACAACTGTTACACATTGCATGAGATCTTTGCCTAAAATTTTAGTATTAACTGTTGGGGTCAACTCTGTTAGCAAAACATGTCATGAACCTTCGGTGTGGATTTAACGAAACTCGTGAGTTTTGCATTAGATTTTACCTTGTGGATTCAGGCAAACTTTACCATTTGTTTTTACATGCACTTACAAAAGGCACCGGACTCTGAAACCCCAACCAGGATCGGGCCCACACCTCAAACTAAAACGGACAGTGATCGTCCTCGTTCATCACAGGCGAACGAAGTGTCCGTTCACATGCAGCAACACTTGTGTGTCTGCCCGTGCTGACCTGGTGCCGCTCTTTCACTCCACCCCCACTTCTCGGTGCAGACGCAGGGTTGCTTAGCAACCCATCAGCAGCCTATGGAGAAGGTACGGTCTCTCACACGCACATTTACAGAGCACCCAGTAAAATATACTGTAAGGAGACACAAATAACGCCCCCACCACACACTAACCTTCACAAGAGATGCAGACTTTAAAGCTGAGAGCTGTACCATCAGCATTGTGAGCCCCTCACTGAAGGATTTACACTTTTACAGGTTCTCACTGCAGACCACAAAAGAAAACATTAAAAAAGCATCCTGAACTATAAAAAGGATGTCGTTCGAAAGAGTTTGCTCCAATAGGTTTCAAGATATTTTAATGTGCAATTCTGAAATGCAGGTATGCACTCAGTGTAAACAAAGCCCTTGGCTGAATCCATTACAAAAAACACAAAGAAGTTTGAGTCACGTCCTTGACCTACAAAAGACTGCAAACAAAGATAGTGGAGTGGGACAAGCCTGGACTCAAGGAGAAGACGTTTAGGTGGAAATATATGAGTGGATCTGCTGCTAAACGTGAAAGAAAAGAAAAAGCGAGCAAGACGACCGTCTAAAATAAAGACAGGGGATCAAGCAGGGCGGTGGAGGGCCTGAAACAACAGAGCTCAGTATTTAAACACACCTTTTTTTTTTTTTACAAAATTTCTGCTAGACTGGAAAGTTTAGTTAGAATGTTTATTTTAATCTATAGCTCAGGACATTTATAACTTGAATTTTCATTTATCTTTAGTCAGAGAAAATGCTTATAATTAGTCTCTTAGATTAGATTAGGCACGTCGAGGGTTGGTCCTCCATGACAGCAAATTCCAGTCTGAAATGTCGAAAGAGCAGCGTTCTGTAAGTTCCCCGTACAAATCTATCACATTGGTGATATTTCCCAGAAAAAAAGGGTGAAACACCTCATTTTCAAGTGCATCGTTTTAAAACCGCATTTGCATATTTTCCTAAACGAATTCATGGAAATGATTAAACGTCTGGACCCCAAACAACACTTCCACGCCAAGAACATCGCTGACCTATTTTCATACACGTGGACTCTTTCACAGGTAAACAACGGTAGTTGGCAGCTTTTGACAGAAATATTTTTAATTTAAGGTACATCGACGATCAAAATAAGAACAAAATCTGCACATTTTGTTTCTTACGTTGTGTATTGCTACTGTATGTCTTGATGACATTGCAGTGAACACAGCCAGATGAAATCAGCATTTCTAACAAGTAAAAAAAAAAAAACTTCACAAGATGCAAGTTAAACGCTCTGCAGCCTAACACTAGTAGCATGTTAGGCGAGAGCTTAATTCAGTCAGCAGACAATGGATCAACCAGTACTTTAGGCAGCAGAATAATTCCCTGATAGGGTGGGGGGAGTTGCTCCAGTACACTAATGACACCCAACATGAAACCACAGCCTCTAGGGTGTTGGTGGGACTGGGTGGATTATGAACAACCTTTGGGCAACTCTAATCCCTTAGAGGTCCCAGCACGCACATTAAAAGTATCTGATTACAACCACTACATGTATCAACACAGAAAAGCCCAAAATCCATCCATTATCTTTACCCGCTTCTTCCTTTTCGGGTTATGGGATCACTGGTTCCCAAATCCAGCAGTCACTGTGCGAGAGGCGGGACCACCTTGTTTGTCTCTATAATGCCCCTTTTGCATAATGCACAATAAAAATAATGCATAAGTATCCCATCACAGGAACACATAGACAAACAACCTTTCAAGGGACAGTTTAGAGTTACCAATCAGCCTAACATGCATGTTTACAGTCTGTGGGAGGAAACTGGAGTAAACCCATGTATGCATGGAGATAATATGCAAACTCCACCCATAAAGGTCCTGGGCCAGGATTTGAACCAGCAACCTTCTTGATGAGAGGCAACAGTTCTACCAGCTGAGCTGCTCGAGGGTGCAATAACACAACTCGATACACTCCCGCTGTGGTCCGCCCTGTCTGATCGTGTTCTCCTCTGGGAGTAAGCTGCTTTGACCAGAAAGGAGATTACGTTCAGCTAAATATATACATAAACTAAAACGTCTTTTTAAAATCTGTGCATAGATTAACACTGCAATCTGACCTCATACTTTCATTGAATACAGTGAACGAGTGCATTTTAAAAGGTCTGCGGGAACCTACAGCTTTACTCAGTGGGGAGCATCACCATCAAACTTTACATCTCGTTGTCCACTCAGATTAGGCTTTTTCCTCGTGCATTCTTAACTTGGGTCATTTTTGTTTTACTAAGCAGAAAAATCCACAGGGAGACACACACAGGTGACCTTTGAGGGGGAGGGGAGGTCATTTGATGTAATCTGTCTGTTAGCAAAGCATGGACTCAGCAGCCGAGGGAATACATGCACAGAGTCTGTGACCGGGGCTTGTCCAGCAGCGGAGACTGTGTGGGACAGACAGGGACAAAGACATTTTCAGTCCTGTAAATTAAAACAGTCTGAAGTTCAGCTGAAGTTAAGACGTTTGAGCAGATGTTCTTAAACAGATTTCTGCATTTAAAGAAAAATTTAATCTAAGGGTTTCCATCACAACCTGCAGTGGAGGAATATTTAAAAAAAGTAGATTCTAATATTTTAATCAGCTCTGAGGGAGCGCTGTTTCAAGCTAATTATTGGGCACGATATGATTACTCAGCATTAGGATGTAATGTTTCCTTTGATGTTAAGAACAGAAATAATTACAAGGACTGACTAAAAAAAAAAAACGTACGACAAAATTCCAAAGGTTTACAACTTTTAAGATAATTGTAACAAAGGGAATCAAAGTTTAGGCTGACTGGTAACTCTAGGTGTGAGTGAGTGAATGGTTGTTTGTCTCTGTGTCCCTGTGATGGACTGGACACCTGTCCAGGGTGTCCCCCGCCTCTTGCACAGCGACTGCTGGATATGAGCACCGGTGACACCTGTGACTCAAAAAGGAAGAAGCAGGTGGAGATAATAGATGGATCAAACTTTTACACTAACATTTTGTGTAATTCAACTCACATTTTCATTTTGCTCAACAAGTACACACTTAAAACCAACTCATACATGAAGGATCAAAGGAATCCATCATATATACAAATAAATTAAATAATGTATTTCACAAGTACTGTAGTATCAACAGGGTAGCTGGAGGCCAAACTATTTGTTTGTTTGCACTGCCCCCTAGTGTCTGTCAAAAACTGGTGCAATAATGGCAATTTTATCTTTTTAGTTTACTTTGTGCATAGAACTGTGCTTTCAAGCATTATTATTATTATTTCAATTTCACAGCACAGTAAACAAACAAACAAACAAACAAAAAGACTGGAAACCTTCACAGGGACACCATCCCACTCCTACTGGCATTACACCACTGCTCCAGGTTTATCCAGTTGTTCTAGTTTATGGAGAGAAAATATAAATAATAAAAAAATAACATTAAATGTAACAGCTGCTTTGCAAAATATGTAGCTATTTTTTTTTTTATCTCAAAGGCGAAAAAATCATCACAAAGAATACAATATCACCTTGTACTTTGCATTCTGTGACAAACACCTGCACGCGTGAAAATCCAGATGTGTTTGGAGTTATCAGTGTTTGTGGACGAGAGGTTACAGCTGGTGTCTGATGAGAAACATGAGCGCGCTCACATGTATGGAAGACAATTTGGGCCAAGGTGGGAAAAAAGTCAAAATTATGAAGAAAAATGAAGCTAGATATCAGAGTTTAATCTCAGAATTCTGATTTTTTTCTCATAAATCTGAGAAAAATATATTTTATTTTCCCCATGACCCTGATACTTCTGAAATTAAAGTCAAAATTCTGACTTTTTTCCTACAAATTCACACAGAATAATCACAAATTCTGAGATTAAAGTCAGAATTCAGGAAAATAAAAATCTATTGTGGGTCTAATCCTCTTCCTTACGAAACATTCAGAAACATTATGAAACTCCAAAACAAAACTTTTGTTTGTTCGCAGTGAATTAAAGTTTGTAGTGCGATAAAGGCAGAAACATTTTAAAATTGAACACAGGTAGACAACAGAAAAAAACTAGTTCAAAGTTTTGAGGGATTTTTTTCCCCTTATCAATCTGCAAAAATAATAATAATAATAAAATTCCAACGTTTTTCCATTTTTTTATTTTTGCAAAATAAAACATTAATAAACATCCTCCAAGAGTGATAATTGCATCTTTCTCCCAGACATTATAGACATGGAAATCTAAAACCAACTTCATTCTACAGCAAACTTCAATGTTCTCACTTCAAGTAATAAAAACACACCAAGAGCTGATGTTGAAATTACAAAACAAAGATGACGACTTTTTTTTTCACATCAGCAACCAACATTTCTTAATCATATCTAATTGTTCACAGTACATTAGAACAGAAAGTTATCCGTTTATAGAGTAAACTAAAACTCAACATTTACTCCAAACTAGAAAATAAAATCAGGGCAAATACATTTACCGTACATCACACTGACCATCGCTCATAGTTCCATGGCTGCCTGTCATCAATTTAAAAACAAATCAGTTTCTTTTCCTTGACTTGTTCTGCAAAATAAAAACGTTTTTAAACAGCATTTGGGCCCATGTCCGGCTCCGGCTGATCGTCCGTGTAGTACGGCTCTCCTTGGTGGACTCTGTGATTGTGCACCCTCAGGTTCCCCCTGTGGGCAAATCTCTTTCCACACTCGGCGCACGCGAAGGGCCTCTTCCCCATGTGAACATCCCGTTGGTGGGCCCTCAAGTTTCCGCTGCGAGCAAAGCGTTTACCGCACTGAGCGCAGCCAAACGGCCGCTCCCCGGTGTGCGTGCGAGTGTGCACGGTCAGTTCAGATGGCGTGAGGAAGCTCTTGTCACAAAACTGACAGGGGTGCAGCCTGACTCCCGTGTGCCGTAAAAGGTGTCTGCGCTGATGGGAGGGGTAGGTGAAACACTTTGTGCAGTATGGGCAGGAGTAAGGGCGTCCATTACCGCCGCTGGAAGCTGGAGGGGGGACCAGAGTGTTTAACTGTCGCACAGCGAGCGACGGGGAATTCAACTGCGCTCGCAGAGGGTCTCTGTTAGCCAAGCTCGTCATCCGCCGTGTGTGACTGACAGAACTTCTTGAAGCTCTGTCAGCCCTCGTTTGCCACGCCGTTTCACCAGAGGAGGCTTGAGGGTGGTCTGGATGAGCCCCCCTCGGCCCCATATCCTGACTCTGCTCTGAGTTCTGGTTTTCCGACTCCTGGTTCAGGAAAGAAAAAGAGCTATCGTCACCTTCGTTGCTGGTTTCGTCTGATCTGTAACCAGGTCGGAAGCACGACGGGTCCACCTTGGTGCTGCTGCTAGCTGCAGCAGAACAGTCTGTACCATCCGTCTGCGGGTTCTCCATACCCGACGCATTACCTCGAGTGGTGTCCAGTCCTGGTAACCACTCTCCTGGTTGAGGTAGGTTCGGCTCAGTCCGAGGAGAACAACGACCGCTCTGGGAGATGGAGAGAAAAGGAGCAGATGCTTGATCTTGGAGGGTGCTGGGGTCTGCACCGTGACCGCTGGGATTCCAATTAGATACTGCAGAAAAATAAGGAAAACTAATATTTATACAGTTTCATCAAACGACCAACAAGTTATGTCTTGCTTACATAAACAAACTTGCAAACAGTCAGTGTGACTTTCTTACTTTTGGTCCTAGCTTGTGTAGCAGAAAGACCGTCATTTTCCCCATCATCCCCAGTAAGGTTTCCCTCTGTGGCTTGGGTTGTGACAGACAGAGATCCAACGTGCTGTTCAGAAATATAATACAAAATGTTTAAGATTTTAAATAGGTAGAAGTAAACTAAGAAGTATGAATCGATATCAAAAATCCTAACAATTTAATTGCTAAGAAAAAGATCTGACCTCGTGTTTTACAGGAGCTCCATCCTGCCCCACAACCTCCTCTTTCAGCATGCTCAGTACGTTCTCCGAGTCCGAATCAGTAGCCACGTCCTTTCCTACATTTGGTCCTATTTGTGCGTGGGGGAAAAACAGATATCAGTGCAATCCCTGCTGCTATTTCTGTAACTACTTTGTCAAGATAATCACAGAACTAAAAGCCGGAGCAAAATGGGAGAAAACGTCTGAGTACTTAAACATTAACATTTGTTTCAAGACTTTTTTTTTTTATATAATCTCTATAAAACACCTCAAAATCAACAAGTGACTGTGAAATAGTAAGCAATAGTTTATTTATATATGCTTTTCTCCACATAAAAATCTAAAAATGCTTCACAGTAAAAAAAAAAAAAAGGTTAAAAGTACAAATACATTTGTGTTTTGCTCTCTTTGCTCATCAAATCTCCTGTCGCTCTATATAAAATCTTATATAAGTAATAAGCAAGACAGATCAAACATTAATCGTCGTTGCAATATCAATATTGCAAAGGACTGCAAATAAATCGTTACATTTCAGGTTCTGTTTGCTAACAATATATTTTGATTCTCACTGGACTTGATGTCCACACATGGTGAAGGAGATAGTGATGACAGAAGATAAAGTGAGGAAAATGTTGGTTTACATCATAAAAGTGTCTAATATTGTGCAGCCCTATACAAAATTAATAGGCGATTGTAAAATTTAAAAAATCAGAAATGCTTTTAAACATTACACTTTCCTCGTAAAAATAGGAATTGTTTTACAAATAAAGAAGTTTATTTTTACTCTCTTTACTCATCAAACCTATTCTATCCATGCATTTTACACTTTATATAATTAATTAGCTCCCTCGATAATAATACTGAACAACTGACAAGAACATTGCACTAAGCCACATCTGTGATATGTTTATTGCTGCTGCACTATGTGGCTGTATCATGTATGTCTGCATTCACCTTATAATCTAGCCGTTTTACTTTTTTTGCCATCTTATTTTAAATTGTAAAAAAAAAAAATAATCTGTATGCCTTTTATAACTGTCCATTGTCATCATCATTCTTTGTTGAAATCAGGTCTCTCTTGTAAATGAGTCCTCGAGGCTCAATGGGATTAACCTGTCTAAATAAAGGTTGAATGTCATTTATCATGTATGTCACATACGCATGTCACTACCTTACCATCATAATTCAATTAATCTCAAATGTCACTGTGCAATAACCTGTCACACAACCTTTGTAGTATGTTAGTTATGTGCAATATATATCATGTGCATTTAAGCTTATATTACCAACTGTGAAATACTTATTTATACAAACTAATCCTAGTTGTACCATTATACTCTACCATGTTGTTGTTTACTATTTCTCTTTGAACCTTGTAAATATTATATTTTGTTTTTCACTTTTTTGGTACTTTATTTTATGCACTTATTGCATTCTTTAGTATTTCTTGTTTGTTCTTTTGTTTAGTGTGTCAAATTGGTTCTCCTCATCCTGAACATTTTGTTGCACTGCTGACCTCGTGTTAACCTGCATGTGACTAATAAACAACATCACTTTGGTTAACAGCAGACAAAAACTATTCCATAATAAAATCATAAAATATAGCATGAACCAGAGGAACCAAATTCTCACTTTTGCCTTCCTGATCACTTGTCAAACTTTGCCATCCCAACATTTGCATTGCAGTAGACCCACAGTGTGCATGCAGTCCAAATACCTGATCCAGGCTGTTGCCTCGTGTTGCCTCCTGCTGACTCCTCTCTGCCCTCGCTCCCTGCACCCTCCGCTTTCAGCCTCCTCTCCTGTTTCTCCAGTCTGCACCGGAGGACGGAGATCTCCTCGGTTTTCTGTGCCAGCTCCGCCTGCTGATCGCACAGGCTGCTCTCGAAGATCTTGGCGATCTCGCACACGGCTGCAGCCAGCAGGGAGTCCATGACGGTGGCCAGCTGAGCGTGGAAAGCACTCCTGACAGACTCCATGTTTCTTTGTTTGAAATATACAGCATTAAAGTCTTACTGTTGTCCGAGCGAATGGCCTCTTGAGGGAGTAAACTGAATCTTCTACCCAGCTTTCATGCTACATTTCTAACTTAACGACAGTTTTCAGCAGCCAAGCAGTAAATTTCCTCCTATCGCTCAGCAGTCCTTTTTTCTCGGGATGTTAACAGAACAGCGATTACAATACAAAGCCATCTGAGGCAACCAGTTTGCACTACTAACATAAAGAATAGTTTAGGGAGTTAAAAAAAAAACGTGACAGGTAGTGTTCGGTTCTACACGTTACCTCTGAATAAAATGTAAACAAGGACCTCAACGAAGTGTAAGCTAGCTCCTTTCGGCTAGCACTGACGCTTAATATGTAAACGTTAGAGAAATAACTGGAAAAATAGATCAATAATGGAGCCGGTTGGAAAGGTAGTGGGCCAAGAATATCCACTGACCAACAATGGAGCAGTGAAACAAGCTTAAACTCAGGAAAAAAGATAATCTTGCTAGCAGGTGGGCACGCACCTGTGTGAGGAACGGAAATCTCGCGATAACTGAAAGATCGGCTGCATACAAAGGCGGGCAATCATGCTTTTTGTCAGCCTGTTTCAGTCTGCCACTAATGAACCTTTAAACTAACTTTACTGAAACTCGCAGGGGAAAAAAAGTCATTATGTGTATATCTAACTGGTTAACGAGTGGAGTAAACCTAACTGAAGATAATCAAAACTAATCCGTCGTAAATCAACATTAACAAACACAAAAACTCTCCTGATGCATGCTCAATAATCCAGGTAGAAAAATCCAAAAAAGTTCAATCTGTTCCTCTGGACAAACACAAACTGTTTTAGACACTACTGCGCATGCGTATATTGGTGCACCACGCCCACAAATAATTTCCCCGGTTTTTTTTTTTTTTTCCAGTCTGTTCTTGGTCCAATACATCTGCTTTTTATTGACTTATATAAAAATGTGTTATTTACATGTATTGGTATTTCAAGTTGTGGTAGCGATATGCAATGACAGCAGAGCACAGCTAAAACTCATCTAGATCCCAAAGCATCTCAAAAGACTGTGCATGCACATTACTAACGGCAATAACGGTTAAAAGAAGATCAATATTTACTTCAGGTTTAGAGTGGTAGTAGCTGAGACTAGTGCTGAAATATATTTTTCACTTAATAATTTCAATAAAGGACTAACTTGACAGCAAAACGTGGAGCTTTATTACAGAAAATCTGGACAGAGATATGGCAAATCCCTCGTTTGTGAAGTTGAGGAGTACATATCTCCCAAACTTGCGTCGTACATCTATTTCACGCATACTCATGCAGGCAAAATGCTTTCCACATCACATTTTGGGTGTAACTGGGACCTTGAGTACACAATTTCATTCCACCTCAGGTACCACGTGATGCAAATGACAACGAAACTTGGAACTTGAACATTGAACTGAGCAGAATAGCAACCCCAAATTTGAGCAAGAATTTGACACATCTACTTGTTAGAACTTTTGATTTAAATCACGTCTGCACTTTTTTGGAAATAAAACGGTAATCAGTTCACGTGAGTTTTCTTTAGGTGCACCTTGGTCAAACTCAGTACATTTTCCAGGACCATTGGAACTTGTGGCTTTCTCTATAAGACTTATTTTGGAAAAAATGTTTCATGGTACTTCCAATGCCCCACACACACATACTGACAACAGATTGTGGCACCAACTTTTAGCAAAATATTTTATAATCTACCAGAAAGATTAGATGTACATCCTCAACAGATTAGCATTTGGAATCAACACAAATCAAGAAGGCTGGATAAGCTAACCAACATTAGTCGACATTTAAATTAATATAACTGTCAACTTAAGAGATGAGCAAAAAACCGATGTAGTAGTTTTCACACAGATACTCTAAGCCTGACATCTCGCAATATGCTTGAGATTGTACGTAATTTTGTAGGTTCGACTGAAATGGCAATAACTGCAATAATTTCATTATATTTTTCATAAAACTATCTTATATTTAAAAGGGTCTGACATGCATTTCTCAAAGTTTTGGTAAATTTTCAATTTATCAATAAAATACGCAATACAGTGGACAGTAATTTAAGTTTATATATGTTTAATGACTTTTCAAAAGAAGCACAAAGAAAGAAAATGTCAAATGTCAGAAAATATGCAAAATATTGGAAAAAATGATTTGCTCTGAAATATACAAGCTCAGCACAGTATTAATAAAATATATAAACCATTTTCACACAAGTTAAAAACCTTATAATATGCTTTAAACATTATAAGCGTAAACCAGACACAAGTGCAAAAGGAATTAATTTTTTACCCCATACACTGAACAATATGTTTTAGTTCTTCCCAGAGTGTGACGCCAGCAAAACACTCGAGGAAAATAAACAAATAAATAAAAGTACTTTGGAGTGGTGGCGCAGAGGTTAGAGAAGGTGGGCCTGTGAATGGAAGGTCGCCGGTTCAACTCGCCGGACCAACATAAAAAATGTGGGTAGAAAACATGAAACACCCACACCTGCCTTCACCCTCATTTGCCCCATTCTGAGCCCTTGAGCAAGGCCCTTAACACCCACCATCTGCTCTGAAACAGGTCTCTCTTGAAAATGAGTCTTCATGACTCAATGAGACTATCCGTATAAATAACGGTTAAATAAAAAAAATTAAGCGAGTATCTTGAATTCCCAGTCAATTAAAACATCCATCCATTCTCTTCCACTTATCCGGGGTTGGGTTGCGGGGTTAGCAGCCTAAGTAGGGAGGCCCAGACTTCCCTCTCCCCAGCCACTTGGGCCAGCTTCTCCGGGGGAATCCCGAGGCATTCCCAGGCCAGCCGAGAAACATAGTCCCTCCAGCGTGTACTGGGTCTTCCTCTGGGTCTCCTCCCGGTCGGACGTGCCCAGAACACCTCACCAGGGAGGCGTCCAGGAGGCATCCAGATGCCCGAGCCACCTCAACTGGCTCCTCTCGATGTGGAGAAGCAGCGGCTCTACTCTGAGTCCCTCCCGGATGACCGAGCTTCTTACCCTATCTCTAAGGGAGAGCCCAGACACCCTGTGGAGAAAACTCATTTCAGCTGCTTGTATCCATGATCTTGTTCTTTCGGTCACAACCCAAAGCTCATGACCATAGATGAGGGTAGGAACGTAGATCGACCGGTAAATCGAGAGCTTCGTCTTTTGACTCAGCTCTCTCTTCACCACGACAGACCAGTATGGCGCCTGCTTCACTGCAGACGCTGCACCTATCCGCCTATCGATCTCACGCTCCATTTTTCCCTCATTCGTGAACAAGATCCCAAGATACTTAAACTCCTCCACTTGGGGCAGGACCTCCTCCCCGACCCAGAGAGGGCACTCTACCCTTTTCCGGCTCAAGACCATGGCCTCGGATTTGAAAGAACTGATCCACATCCCGGCCGCGTCACACTCTGTTGCGAACCGCTCCAGTGAAAGCTGTAGATCACGACCTGATGAAGCCAGTAGGACCACATCATCTGCAAAAAGCAGAGATGCAATCTTAAGGTCACCAGAACGGATCTCCTCAACACCTTGGCTGCACCTAGAAATTCTGTCCATAAAAGTTATGAACAGAATCGATGACAAAGGGCAACGTTGGCGGAGTCCAACTCTCACTGGGAATGAGCCCGACTTCCTGCCGGCAACGTGAACCAAGCTCTGACACCGGTCATACAGGGACCTAACAGCCCGTATCAAAGGGCCTTTTACCCCATACCCCCAGAGTACCCCCACAGGGCTCCCTGAGGGACGCGGTCGAACATAAACATAAAAAATAAAATAAACACAACCATCTTTCACAACTTTTGTGTTGTTGCTGACATTAAATTGTGGATTTAGTTTTCCAAACATAATAAAATTGGTCAGTGAAGTTAAAAAAATAATTTATTTGCACTTGTGTCTTTGGTTTAAATTAACCCCCCCCCCCCCAAAAAAAAACGTAATTCATATTTGTCGAAAAATAAGTTTTCATAAAAATGGCAAACATAAAAATCCATACCTTTCTTTTTTTTTTTTTTTAAAGAAACTGTGAACATTTGAGTATAATGAAGACAAATTGCAATAGATCTGTGCAACTTTTGTAGAGCTATGTCAAAAGTTGCAATTCCACAACCAAGAACATCAACAGTGATTTGGGACAATGTGAATAAAATAAAAAAATATAACTAAAGTAAAACTTTACTTTTGGATCAAATAAAAACCAGGAAATTTTATGTACAATATATTACAAGCAACAAATATTAAATGTTGTACAGTCAGTAATACGATCGTCACTGCTCAACCCAGATCGTTCCTGGCTGCACTGTATGTGAAGTGTAGGAGTTCTGTAAAATGAAACCAGTGGATCCATAAAAGTTTTCACATCAATGCGATGAAGCACTTTGACTTTTCTGGTATTTGTCTTCTGAAAATAAATGCTATGACAATGCTTGGAGACCGGACTGCTATAAAAATCCACAATTCATCTAAATGATTATTAAATAGCAGTACAAATAACATCTAGCTGATTTACTGGTTTTACAAAAGTATTTTTATGATGTTACCTCAAACAGAAAATAAAAATATAAAACTTTTATCTGTTGAATTTCAGTGTGACGATGTCCACAGACATGTAGCCAATTGGATCAGTCCATCCATTTCCTGAGATGTATTAGGGCAGTGTTCTGCTTTGGGACCGTCCCCTTTAAAACCAAGATGTATGCTTTAAGGTGTTACTTTTAAGGAAAAGAGCCAGGCAGTAATGCATATACCCATGACCTAAACCTAAACTTTACAGGACATCTCTCAGATATCAGGCTTCTCTCTGGTGTGGATGCAAGTGTTGTGCTCATCTGAGGCATCTTATCTTCATTTTGTTTACTTTCAATTTATTGATGTGTATTTTTACTGAGGTAGCAAATCCTCTCTGTGATCTTCAATTTCATGATCTAAAGGCTTCGCCTGTCCGAGCTCTCAATTTTTGACGATTACATTTGTGCGTTCTTTGTGCGATGAGGTGTGCTTGTTGAATGTTTTACTGTTGTCGATTGAAACATCCACGCTCTCATTCTTTATGGCCACTTTTGGTTTGACAGTGGTATTTGAGGATCTATCACAGATTTTTGGAGGTTTTTTGGCTTCTTGTGCCATCCGTTTTTTATATGCTGCACAAGATTGGGTATGAACACCGAGAGAATAAACACCGCCGAGGACTTTTTTGCAGCCTGTGCAGGTCCGGTGGAAACGGGCGTGAATATTTCGACCAGGTTTTGTTTCAAACAACTTGCTGCAAAACATACAAGTGTATTTTTTTGTTTCCTTTATCTTTGCATTCGTTAGTTCAGCAGACGTGGTCCCTTTTTTTGCATGTTTTTTCAGGGGTTTTTTGTGCTTTGATGTTTTTTCTTTCTGTTTATCTGTTAACGTGTTCTCACCCATGTTTTGTTTTCTAAGACATTTTGCATTTGTTAGGGCGCAGTCTTCGTGTTTGACGTCTCTGAGCAGGATTGTATTATCGTTCCTCACTGAAGAAACGTTAACACCTTGGACATAATTTGGCACTTCTTTGATCACAATGGGTTTTGACTTTTCTTTCAAAGAAGAAACTGTAGAGAAAGAACAAAAAAATACAGTAAGACAATCAAACTTGACATATGAAAACAGTAAACAACAACTGGACTGATGAAGCAAGCACAATCAATTTTAAGAAAGTAATGGTGTGATCTGTGCAACCCACTGCAGCCATGCTATTTTATATATGTATATTTCTAATGGACAATTGTTGGGAATCCTGGAAACTAGGGATGCACGATATTGGATTTTTGGCCGATACCCGATATATTAAAACTTATTTGTCCGATAACCAATACCAATATTTTTCCCCCTAAACTTACTTACAGAGACTACATAGACTTATCTGCTGTGGAATAAAAATACTACATTATTCTGCATAGTCTTTGTCAATGTGGCCAAATACAGATGCCAAAAAGGGGGCTGAAAATGATGTAACACTATACAAACATATAATGTGTATAAAAAAAACTGTGCTTTTTATATAGGTGAGTTACTTTGATGGAGTGGCCAACGTCGGATATTTAACTTTATTGCCATTATCGGCCGATACCGATATCATGCCGATAATATTGTGCATTCCTTTGGAAACTCATCATCAGACGAAGGTTGAAAAATAATAATAATAAGAAGAAAAAAATTATTCTCTTAGCAATCCCCAGTGGTTCCCGAACAGGAAACGCATCTTTGGAGCCATATATAAATATATTCCAATTTCAAGAACCAGGACCATTTTCTGAGGTACATATTTTTTTTAACCATTGTCTGTTTCCATTGCAGGAATCAGGCCAAAAAAGAATACAAGGGTAGAAATTTACCCCACCAAACTGCCCTAGTAGTTAGGTAGTAATTTGGAAAATACTTGAGAACTTTCAGTGTAGTGAGGAAGCACTAAACATTTTTTAACGTTCTAGTCTCCAGGATTCCTAACGGCAGTTTATTAGAAATGTGCATATGAAAAAAAATGAGGCAGCTACCTCCGAGTTTAGCTGCCGTCTAAGCAGTTGCATCCCTTTAAGAGCTGAGAAGCAATACATGTCAATGATGTGAGATAAGAGTTTACAAATGAACCATCTCAGGCAGGGATGCACGATATTATCGGCATGGTATCCGTATCGGCCGATATTAGCGTTGAAGTTAAATATCGGACATTTGCCATTCCATCAAAATAACTCATGATAGAAAAGACGCTGTTTTTTTATATTTTTTATGGCAACCCAGTGACAAGGATGCCTGCAGCACCAGCACACCGCGATGACGTCACACGCATGATCTGATCACGGCGGAGAGGAAGAAGTCAAAATATCGGCAGTGTGGAAGTTTTTTTGTCCACAGTCGGAGATATTTTTCTGACGTAGCCTTACCCGAGTTACAAGCAGTCATGTCCGACATCATTGAGAAGCTAATAGCCGATAGCACTTGGGTGAGTTTTACCACAGACATTGGACGTCAAGTGTTAGCCCCGTTAACACATTTAGTCTTACGGCACAATGGATAGACAAAAACTTTGAACTTAAAAACAAAAGAGTGCAGAGGATCCCACACTGCAGCTAGGAACCTGGAACAAGCCTCCACAAGTGAGCAACGCAGGTGACTAATGCTAATAAATAACATTTAACACTTTTCATTTAATGTAAGTTAAAATGATATGCATATCATATGGCTGTTACTGAATATATGTCACCAGCTCTTACAGCTGTTACACAATTTCTGTATCAAATACGTCTAAATATGTTATGCTACGTTCTGACAAAGGAAAGTATATTAAAAACATCTGTATTGGTATCGGTTATCGACCAAATAAGTTGAACATATCAGTATATCGGACATCGGCCAAAAATCCAATTATCGTGCATCCCTAATCTCTGGAAACCTCAACTTTCCTAACCATGAAAGTTCTGATACGCACCGACAGCTAATAAATATCTTCTTTCTGCTCTGTGGTTGTAATCACTTTTAATACAATGTGAACAATTTACCACATAAGAAAACTTACTTCTTCTAGATCTTCTGTTACTCTTACATCTCTGGAGGTTGATACTAGGACAGTTAAGCTTCTGAAACAAGGACATTTTTTGTTAAATCTTCATAGACTACGACAAAAAAACGCACACATAATAAAACACTACATAAAGATTAATTTTATGCAAGTTTAAGCCTTTGTGAGGATTAGTTTGTTATAGTAAATGAAATAGTGGGACAGTTCTGAATGAACTGGCAGAGTTTTTGTGAAAATGTTCATATCCAGATTTTTTTTATTTACAAAGGACTTTTCCTTCATGTATTAAACAGCTATTTTTTAACAGTGTTTGTTTTTTGAAGTGAATCTTTAAATTTGAAGCATATGGGAAGCTAATAGGCATAAAAAGAAATGCAGGTGCAGTTTAAAATATCTGAATATCATGAAAAATATGTGTTTTGCCAATTATTTCAGAAAGTGAAACTCGTTACATACAGTACAACACAATTTACAAATGTATTCATCTTATTCATGTTACCCATCCCTAATAAACAAAGATAAGTTCATTTGCCTTTGAGTGATCTGCCTCTTCACATAAAAGTGAAAGAGTTTAAAAGTTTTTATTTTGTGTTACAGGACATGGTATGGATGAAGCCAGCATCACCCGGGCCATTTCTCTGTGTAAGGAAGTTGTCAGCAGCTTCACTTGCAGCTGGAAGAAGAGAGAACTGACTGAAGTGCAAATGCAGCTGGGTCTTCCAAGTCACATAACATAAGTAACTTAACACTTAACATAAGTAAAGAGCTTAGCTGCTGTGCAATAAGAAAAACAATGGCTGATATTTTGAGATGGATTGGATTTAAATAGTCAGATGAGCAGCAGAAAAAATGGGAGCCGATTTCCCGCCCTTAACGTAATTTATATGGACCGGGTGGAGCCCACACAGCAGGTGGGCGTGGACTAAATTTTTTAGTGTTATGCTTCGCATGAAGGGATAAAACCCAATAGCGACAGCTCTTAAAGGGCGAAGCCTATACGAAATAGAACAGTGCTATTAAGTTATAAGCTGCAGCTCCGACTGTGTTTTCAGACTCCTTCCGAGAGACAAACCACGGGTCAAAACTCATTCATTAGCCGTGCTATGCCTTATGATGGGAACATTGAGAGAAGCTGCAACATTAATAAATCAGCAGCTTATCATATTGAAGATACGTTCCTTAGCGACTAACAAGACGGTTAAAGTTTTTAAAACACATTTTTACTCCCTGGCTTTTAGCACAGACTGAATTTGCTCTGCACTGTTTTTATTGATCTTCATGTTTTAACAACTGTTTTATGTGTTTAAATGTTCTTGATTTTATATGTAGAGCACTTTGTTGCAGCTGTGGTTGTTTTAAAGGGCTTTATAAATAAAGTATTATTATTGTCTTAAAAATATTGAGATATTAATTTTGGTGCATATCGTGCAGCCCTAAGTACAACCTGAGTGAGAAAATGGATGCACTAAAACAAAGTCATCTTGGAGGTGGAGTCTCTGGTCGATTATCAGAACAGATGTTTGTCTGAGCAGACAAACCCAGCAGCGCCTGAATCTGCAGACCAAACAGAAGCAGAAGTGGCACACACAGCTAAAAAGAAGAGATAACTGGCAAGCTACTTCTTGCACAAAACAGCCACCATCACCACTTTCACACAGGAGGCAACAGATCAGGGTTATTTAACTGGCGGCCCGCTGGGTGACTTCAATCGGGCCCACTTCGTTAAAAAATTAAAAAAAATGTGTGTGTAGGTTCTATTTATTGCATTTATGATTCAATGCAATAAAATAAACAGATTTTAAAAGGTAACAGATCATTGTAAACTTTGGTTTAATTACATGATGATTTTAATCGCTCGATGTCAATGACAATGAACTTTCTAGCTACCTGTTGTCAGTTTATGTAGAGAGTGATGGCTGACCATCTCAAATGGTGGAAGGAACATGAAGTTGCCTATCCAGCGCTGAGCCACCTGGCCAAGAAATACCTTTCTGTGCCAGAAGCTCCTCTTCTGAAAGGATTTTCTGTGGGAACAGTGCAACCTGCCACAAGGCATCCTTAAAAACCTGACACTGTTGACAGACTAGTTTCCTTGCACAAGATCTGTAGCTGTACAATACAGTACTTGCCCTGTTGTGTGCTCATTATATTTGCATTTTAATTTGAGATTTGCACAAGAGATGCACTGACTAAAGGATGCAATTTTGTTCATTTCATCTAATGTGATGACATGTTTTGTTATTTGCACAAAGTACAGTAGTCCCTCACTTATCACGGGGGTTACGTTCCAGACACAACCGCGATAGGTGAAAATCTGCAAAGTAGGGAAGTAGGGGTGCACCGATAAATCGTCCGGCTGATTTTATCGGCCCCAATTTTCTTATTTTGGGAAATCGGCCGATACTTGCATGAGAAACCGATTTTACAGATTTTTTTTAGTTTTAACAACAATTGTCTAAACTTTATTTGTATTTCAGAGCACTACCTCATGGCCAGTTAAAACAAGTGTATATTGTTTCTAAGATATTGTTCAAGGATATGTTTTTCAATAAAATAATATTGGCAAATTGAAGGTGCATTGTAACCTAATAACACCTGACAGTGTCGCTTATAAAACAAAATCGGTATCAGCCAAAATCGGAATCGGCAGGTCAGACTTTTTAGAAATCGATGATCGGCCAGAAAACAGTGATTGGTGCACCCCTATAGGGAATTTAAATTTATTTTAGCCTTTAATATATTTAAGACTTTATAAACCCTTCCCACACTCTTGCAATGTCTTAACAATGTTCAAAACTTTTAAACCTACATAATTTTAACAACATACGTACTGTATATGTACTGTACAGTACTGCAAAATTTTATATGGGTACTCACCAGTGAAGATACTACTACAACTTGAAGGATAAAGATGACGAATTAGAAGTGCAGTACTGATGACGAAGATGAGATGAATGTACTGCACAGATATGAAGAGCATTACAGCTCTTCTAAAGGCACCACTTCATCAGATGGTTCTTCAGGTGGTGCAGCATCTTCGGCCTCTGACAAAATTTCTATTTCTGCTAAAAGCGTCGGCGTAACAGATCTCTTCGTTCGAGGGATGAACATAGATAGTTATGGGGAACTGCTTGTGCTGCTTCTTCATTTGAGTAAGAATGCTTTTGTAAGATGACATTGTATGACATTGTATGTCAGCTGTCGATTGTATTTGCAACCTGCAACGAACGAACCATATTGGGGTCCCATTCTTCAATCCCTCACTGAAGTTCTTTGGCCATTCTGACTGCGGTTGGTTACAAGATGATCAAGCGTTAGGCCAACCTCCTCTTCTGCTTCAACAAGTTGCTCATCTTGTTCCTCATCCTCTTCTTCGCTTGCCGACTTAAGTTAGTTCCGCCAGGTCTTTGTCCGTCAACGGTTAAGCATGCACGTCGATCAGATCATTCACGTCTTCAGTAGTCATATCAGTGAAGCCCTCTCCTCCCAGTATTTTTGCTAGCATCACAGCCTTATCAACTGCAGAGTGATAGATTTCAGCAGGAGAGAATCCCTTGTAATTGTCAATCACCTCTGGCTACAGTTTTTTCCAGCAGGCATTTAAAGTTTCAATCTTCATCTTATTTGTGGATTTCTGAATATTTTGGAGACACCATGCAATTGTGTAGTCACGCCAGTACGCCTTTAGCGAGAAGTCTTCATCCGTGTTCATAGCTTCAACAAGGTTTTGCAGGGTGTTTCTTGTGCAAACCGCCTTAAAAGCGCAAATAACGCCTTGATCCATTGGTTGAATGAGTGATGTGGTGTTCCGCGGAAAGAAGTCAACCTGGACCCCATTATAAGGCAGATCAACAGCATGGCCTCCAGCATTGTCCATTATCAGAAGCACCTTGAAACTGAGACCTTTCTAAGCCAAATTAAGCTTAACCTCTGGGATAAAGCAATCGTGGAACCAACTAGTCATGAGGACTTTCGTGATCCATGCCTTAGGGTTGTGCATCCAGTGCACAGGCAACACACTCTTTGTTTTTTTAGGGCCCTTGGGTTTTCTGACTTGTAAATAAGCCCTGGTTTTATCATAAAACCTGTAGCATTTCCACACAGGATCAAAGTTATCCCATCTTTTTGGGCCTTAAAACCAGGGACTTTGGCTTCATCTTTCATAAGTGTGAGACAGCATCCGTTTCCAGAATAAGCTTGTTTCATCCATGCTGAAAACTTGTTCATGCGTATGGATTTTTGGAGACGATGACCAATAACCTTTATCCTTCTGACCTTAAATCTAACCCAGGACCCCTTTTCCCAAACCTGCATTCTGACCCTGAACCAAACCCAACCCTAAACCTAACCCAGAACCCCCTGACCCAAACCTAACCACCTGACCCTAAACCTAACTCCGATTCCTACACCTAACCCAGAGCCCTGACCCTAAACTTAACCCAGGAACCCTTGCCCTAAACCTAAACCTCTGATCCTAAATCAAACCCAACTCTAAACCTAACCCTAAATCTAACCCAGGACCTCTTTTCCTAAACTTTTTTTTTTCTTCTTTAGGCTGCTCTCTGTGTTAGGGGTTGCCACAGCGAACTAAGTTGCACGAAGACATGGCAGTTATTTTTAAGCCAGATGCCCTTCCTGATGCAACCACAGACCACCGAGCTACCATAGCCCTGTGTGTGGAGCAGAGCTGCTATCTAGGACACCCGGAGGAGCAGATGGTGGGGGTTAAGGGCCTTGCTCAAGGGCCCAGAGTGGAGCGAATGAGGGTGGGGACAGGTGTGGGTGCTTCGCCTACCGCACCCACATTTCTGATGTTGTCGGTACCGGGGCTTGAACCGGCGATCTTCCGATCACAGGCCCGCCTTCTCCAACCTCTGCGCCACCACTCCCCTACCTCTTTTCCTAAACCTAACCTTCTTTATAGCCACCTTCCTTGATATCTTTGAACATGTTGTTCACATACTCCTCGGCTCCCGCTTTATTTGCAGAGGCAGCCTCTCCATGCAGAGAAACACTCTTAAGTCCAAAGCGTTTCTGAAATTTGTCAAACCAGCCCTTGCTGGCACTGAATGGGGTTGGTCTGGTGAGTAAAGCACTCGAAGGTCCTGCTTCAGCGTCATTGTCGTCATCCTCTTCTTTATTCCCATAACCATCGTGATCATCCCATTTTGCTGCCAGACCATCATAAAGCTGTTTGGCCTTTGTCCGGATGGTGTTTGAATCCAGCGTGATATTCTTTTTACGGCAATCATTAATCCACATGGCTAATTCAGATTCCATAGACACAATAGTTTTATTGCGGGAAGTAACCACCCTCTTTATAGTTTTGTTGAAAGTCACTGCTGCCACAAACCTGGTATTCTTCTCGGTCTTCTTGATATAGCGAACTGTAGATTCGTTCATCCCATAAAGGCGGCCAACAGCTGCGTAGGTTCTCCCTTCTTTCAACATGTCAAGAAGCTCCACCTTCTCTTTTATGGTAAGCATCTTTCGCTGGCGCTTGGGTTCACTGCCTGAAACCTTAGAACGCGTAGAATGTTTGGGTAGCATCCTAGGACTTGAAATAAATTCAGTCTCTTATGAAAATTTCACAAAAGAGCGCAGCAAGACAGCAGACAGACTGATGCTACGGTTACGGAGCCAATTGGCACCTGGGATACAAGCACAATGCTCTGGTTGGTTGCCTTACATGAATCAGCCAATCGTGTGTCGTACAATCTTACATTGAAAACCCGCGAAACACTGAGTCTGTGAAAGTCGAACCGCGAAGTATTGAGGGACTACTGTAGTAGTTGCTTGTACTGAAGCACACAGGAGTATGCACTTTGGTGAGCTCTACTTCATTAGAATCAGACTTTTTAAAGAGCGAGTCAGAGTCAGACTTTTGTTATGTTTGCTCTGTGGCTTTTCTGTTAAAAAATTTTTATGCGACGCTGTGATTTTGGTTTTGTTACGCAGAAAAAGAACTTTATTTTATTTGAAGAGGATTATTATTTAATATATGTCAGCGGTTTATTTTTGAGACATTTCTCTTGGACAGTTACAGTTGTTTGTTAAAAAAATGTGCCTGTGTGACAATTGGGACAAAGCTTAGTCTCTGAAATCTCTTTTTGCTATTACTTTATGGAAAGAAAGAAAAAACATATCATATATCTCCATTCGTCTTAAAAATATTGAGATATTAATTTGGTCCATATCATCCAGCCCTATTATTGACACTGTCCCGTATTTTTAAATTAATAAAATTAAAACTTTAGTTGTCAGGTAACCCCCACACTTTTTTAAAGGCTTGAGTTAACAACGACCTTTCTCTTGTGTTAAGAGTTCATAAGTTTGGTTATTTTAGCTTGAAGTTTAAGCAAGTTGAACTCATGAGCGAATTATCACACCTCCGTTCCCTCCTGAAGGTCATTAGGCTCTTTGCATGTGATTACATGAAGCACCTGACTGAAATTTAAGTTTGCAGCTTTTCATTTAAAATGAAAAAGCTGCTTGGATGAGAATTAAAACATTTACAGTTAGCAGAAAAGAAGCCAGTTTTTTTTTTGTTGTTGTTAATCAGAAGGCATATTACATTCATCAATCAATTACTCTGCTTTGTTACATTTTATTATTTTAGCAAATCCCCATAATTTTTTTAATCTACCCACCTCTTTATTGATGGGAACTTGACTCAGAGGAATGGAAAGCTTGCGCAGCGTCACACTTGGAGATATTTTCTGTTTTTTCGCTGTCTTGTAGCCGAGTGGAGCACACCAATCATCTGGAACTACCCAACCAAAACACAAACATAACACTGGGATTTATACATATATATAAAAAAAAAACATTTAATTGAAAATATGCTAATACTGTGCAGGCTTAAAACTGTCATTACTCTGACTGCATAACATATTTGGTCAAATGCTCTTGTATGCCCATTCAAATGTTTTCCTTCGTACATTGCCCTTGTTTTTTTTTTACATACCAGAATTACGTAAAATCAAAAACATGCACCTTCAAAATCAGTCTCAGGAAGTGTGGAGGACTGTCCCGGGGCATCTGGGACATCTGGCTTTTTGCGGGTTAGCTTCATCTCTGCTTTGCTGGATTTTCCAGACTCAAGATCTTTCAACTTTATCTCAGCTGTCTGCAGCTTTATCTTAAGTTGAGCAATCTCTAGTCCTTTCTGTGCAACCTCCAATTTATGATCATGTAGAGCATTTTCAAAAACCTTTATTATTTCAAACAGAGCTGTCCTTAAAACGGAGTCCATCGTTGTGGTCAGCTGGACCCTGAGCCCTCTCATCACATGGTCAGACATGACGGAAGCTGAGTGGTAGCAACTTTTAGATGCTTCTGGATAATGAAGTGGAGGGCCTTATCCCCCTAAACACGAAAATAAAAAAATAAAAAAATTAGTGTTGGTATAAAAATAAGGTGGTTGGAAACATACTTTCCTTGATAATCAAGTAGAATTTCCATCTACCTCTAAAGCCAAAGTATTTGATTAAATTAAATACAGACATGAGAATACACAAAATACAGTGCAATGTTAAACTATGAACCTCCTGTCAATAAAGTCTGTTAAAAACAGCATCCACACATAAACAAAATAAACCATTCAATAAAATAAGACTAACTCAGTTTAAAAATTATTATTATATTATATATATTATATTCAGTTCAATTTTTCTAAATTTTAAAAAGTTCACCCTCATGTCAAAATGACTATGACCCAGCCTGTCTCGCGTCACAAGGCAGCGCCTATAAATCACTGACACTACGAAAATTAAATAGTTGAAGTGTGAACATGGTTTTAATATTTTAAATCTTTATTTTTTGTGAAGAAATGTTTATAAATATTTTTATGGTTTCAGGTATAGGATTCCAGTAGGGGCAGAGATGGGTTAGAGGTAGGGCAGCAGACTTGGGATCAGACAAGACGCAGTTCGACTCCCTGCCATTCCCACGTCATGGTGTCCCTGAGCAAGACACCCAATCCCTAATTGCTCCTCAGGCACTTACATAGCTGCCCACTGCTCCACCTGGGTGTATCTAACGTGTGATGGATTAAATGCGGAGAATTCATTTTGACATTGTATGGGAACATACAATGATGACAACGCATAGCACATATTATATACTAATATATACCGGTTTTTATATATATATATATATATATATATATATATATATATATATATATATATATATATATA